GTTTTCCATGTTCTTCGTTTCTCACGTCAAAATCGCCACTTTTGAATTTTTTAAACCACTCAAAGCACTGTGTGATTTACCAAGCACTGTATGATTTACCAAGAGGATGCTCACCGTAAGCTTCGACAAGCATTCGATGCGATTCTGCAGCAGTTTTCTTCAAATGGTAACAGAAAATCAATGCTGTCCGCAAATCGTAGTTTTCAGGCACAAAATTCGACATGTTCAACGCTATTACAAACTATACAATTGTATGAAACTTGTATTGTTGTGAGTTGAAAATCTTTGTCAGATGTCAGGACAAGGAAATGGCGTCAATGACGCGGTCTGACGGCAACTTCATTGACAGCTATGGCCATCTATTGGTAAATTCCGGTTTCATATTTACATATCTGGTAAACATACTTCATCTCAACGGCGCACGACGTTGGGAGACAAATGATAAGCGCTGTTGGCGATGCGGTGAAGCATCGGAGACTTTACCCCATGTGCTCTGTCACTGCGGTACCCATTCCGCCGCAATACAGCTGAGGCACAACGCTGTCCTGCACCGCATCTGGAAGGCCACTCGCCTTCCAAGAATAGTGCGGGTTAACCAGCAGGTGGAGGGCGTCAGCGGCAATTTGGCGGCGCTACGACCTGACCTCGTGGTCAAGCACGAGCCCTCCAAAAGTGTCGTCATATGCGACGTCACGGTACCCTTTGAGAATGGATGGATTCCGTTCGAAGAAGCCACGGCGAAGAAACTCGAAAAATACAACGCCCTGGCGGAAGAATTACAACGACAGGGATATCGTGTCGTCGTGACGGCCTTCGTCGTCGGCGCCCTCGGCTCGTGGGATCCGAGAAATGAGGCGGTGTTAAGACTGCTGATGGTTACGGCCCAATACGCGTCAATGATACGACGTCTGATCGTCTCGGATATCATTCGCTAGTCACACGACATATATGTGGAGCACGTGTCCGGCACCCGCCAGTACCTTGCTCCTTCCCGTCCCTCTGAGGATCCTCTCTCGCCGCCAAAAGCGGTTCGTCGACGCTGGCTCGCCGAGGAGAGAGCAGCGCAGGATGCGGCGCGTCGCGTTCCGAACGTTGCGAGTGTCGCGTAACTTATTTTGTGTTTGTCTTGGCCTCCCCTTTTTCAATCCAGCAGAGAGAGCGGTCTAATGTCAAACTATTTATTAAATGTGTAATTGTGATAATGGCGCTACCCGCCTATTTCATTATATATATTTTTATTTTTAATTTTTTATATATATTATTAAATTGTTGGAAGGGGACCCCTCTCTGCTGATTCTAATTATTTATTTATTTATTGTGTATACTATTGTATCTTTTGTTGTCTAATAGCTATGCTATTTTATTCTCTGTTTCTTTCTACCCTATCTTTCTTCTATCTTTTTCCTTCTATTTTCTTCTTTTTCTATTTTTAAGTACTATTGTACTCTCTTTTTATATATCTTATTATTTATTCTAACTGTCTGTGGGGGCCCTAACTGTTCGAGTGTGCATGCCGCGTATTGCGATTTTTGTATTTTACACGAGTGTGAGTATGCGCGTTATACATTATTAATTTTATTATTTATTATACTATGCTGCTGCGCGCGCTCCTCTTGGACTTTTATAATTTTGACAACACTTCTGTGTACCTCGGAGGAACATTTGACTGTGATAACGTATCCTCCCAGCTTGCGTGCTGGGTGGATGATATATGTGATATTTTTTGCGAAGACTGGGGGGCTAGCCCCTTTTTTTTGTATAACCCCAGAGAGGAAATGTCTCTCTGGGGAAATTATTTGAAAAATAAAAGCGAGCTAATTGTCTTGTGATTTCAGCTTCTTACTGTTAATATTAATGAAATTATTGTGAGTTGAATCGATTTGTTACTGTAATAAGTAACGCCATCATAAATTATAATCTACATAAAATGATTACTGTAGGACGTGTATAAGACTTAGTGGTTATTTTGTGATACATACGTGTAGTGGAATAGTAAAGCATGTTGTGTAGCAAAATACAAGTGCTTTGCTTTCGTATTCTTTGTTTAGTTTTGTGTCTTGTATATCCCACCTGTTTGGGATATACGGCATTTTTAGCGAGTGGGATTTATGCTCGAAGCATACAAAGTGCGCAGATTGAATTCAGTGCACTAAATGCAATAAACGCATTACATGAAATATGTACCTCATGTCATAATACTTGTAATATATGTAGGAAGATGGTTATTATTATTTATTACTTCATATACAAATTTACCATTCTTATTCCTTAATAAAACTTTATAAACACATTTTATAAGTTATTGTGTCATTATACGTCTTATTTATATGCATTATTTATAAATTTTTCATGAGCCGTACGTACCCCCCCCCCCCCCTCCCTCTATGAGTAGCCATATATCCTCCTACCCCTATGGAATATACGGTAAAAATGCAAGGGTTTCAAAAAGTTTATTTTTTAATATGAAAAATAAATATTTCGGATTTCTAATATTTTTTTCATAGTAGTAGACAGTACAAAGTTTTTGCTGATATAGTTCGTTTACTATGAACATAGTAAATAATAAATTAAGTTTTTGATAGGTGCGGCGTATATACCGGAGTTACCCTATAGTTACTTTATTGAATAATGATTATCCGATAGAATTCGTTTTTAACACAATTAATGATCGTTTAAAATTTTGGTCTAAAAAATTTTCTAATATCAATGTTTCAAATGACAACACGAATATTGACCATGAGTCTTGGTTTTTGTTACCATATATTGATTCTTGGTCAGAGAAATTTTCGACGATTTATAAAGATACTGACATAAAATTAGCGTTTTTCAGTGAGGACAAACTAGGTAAATTTATAAAAGTACCTAAGAACACTCTCCCAAAATTTGATAATAAAAATGTTGTATATAAAATTTATTGTAAAGATTGCGATCTTATGTTGGACAAACAAGCAGGAAATTGTCTAGTAGAATATCTGAACATCCTAGACATATCAATTGGAACACTGACATCCAGTCTATAATTATTGAACATCGTATGGAATTTTCACATCACTTCGATTGGGAGAATGTCCAAATTTTAGACAAAAATAAATTTTTGAACAAAAGATTGGTTTCCGAAATGGCATTCATACATATACAAAAGAATGGTCTTAATTTGCGTTCAGATACGGAAGGATTACATCATACCTATGCAGCAATGCTTGAAAATTTCTTTTGATTTATATAATAAATTATTTAATTTTTTTATTATGTTAATGTAATTGTTTAATTAAAAAGGTTTATTACTTGACGATATTTTAAATATAATTGTTCAGTTAAGAAGTTTTATCATTTGACGATATTGTAACAATTTTAAATATCTCCTTATACTGATTCTTTTTCTTTTTCTGTTATTTTATTTGACGATTTATATCAGTTTTTATAATTTTAATTTCCATACATTATTGTTGCGTTCTCATTAGTTGTTCTTAACGATAATTTACATGTGACTCGTTCTTGTATTACATATTTGCCTTAATGTTTTTACTGGTGATCTCTTACATTGAGTTTAGTTCATATCGGTGTGATACGTTGTCGTTATCGGACACATGAGTTTAAAAATGCGTGATTTTATTAATTGTAATATACCCACTATTTAAGATTTAAAATGTTCAACAAAGTTTCACGTTTCTTGTCATGTTCCGTGATGGTAAGTCATTCAAATTCATTTTACTCATTTATCTATCTAATGAGATTTTTTCTATAAATGTCAGATTATCAACGCTGCATTTTTGTCAATTTGCGAGTGACTTAAGCATTGCGGACATGTGAGCTAATTGGAATTGTATCATTCTTGCTGAGGAGGACTCCAAAGGGAGTCGAAACGTTCAAATAAAGAAGACATCAATCCATTTTTTGGGTATTGATTGATCACTATAACACTTGCCGCTGTTTATCGTCGCTGACTCTCATTAGCCTACTATATTTTTTGTTTGTTATATTGTTTATTTAATTTATGTAATAACAATTTTGCAATCCATAAATCTAATTCGGAGAATTTTCATCATGTAGAAATGTTGATAATACAGACGGCTTTAACATCCCCTTAAGGCAACTATGTATTTTCTTTACACCAATTGATTGATTTCATATATTATTCTGTTAATAAAAGTATTAATATACGATTATATAAAAAATTAATGGTCGAAATATTTAATATTTCAAATCAATATTTACCAGAATATAATATAAAATATTTCATACCTTATTGATTTTTTTATATCTCTACCTTAATACTTTTATATGCAGAATAATTAAAGATATCATATTATGTAATGAAATACATATAATTCCATTTAACAAATTTTAGATAACCTTAACCTGATGTGAAGAACAGCTTCTCAAAGTCAATCAAAGACATCATTTTCTTTTTTCCTTGCAAACTCAGCAACTTTTATTTGAAACATTTTTGTTTTAGACTTAAAGATTTTGATATATTCTACTAGGTGAATTAAAATGGACCACTCTGTATAAAGTTAGAATCTTGTTTAAATAATTACAACAATTACATCATTACACGTACTATATACACATTATCTTCATCTTTACCTGATAGCCGCAAATAAACTACATGCATGAGCAGTACATGTGATATGCTTTGCATCAACGCCTAACCCAATGAATGCACCCATCACAATTAGAATAGAAGTATAACAAAAAATTGGTAGAAAGTAATCATCTTTATTCACTCTGAATTCAACTTCGATCGCAAAGAATCGCGAGCGTGATTCGTTAAAAGGCACTATGATGTCTAAGATTATCGGTGTTAACGGCATTATTATAAGCACCGATAACGAAGAAAAGTATAGTACTGTAATATCACAAAAGATACTTTCAATAATATCAATAATATCAATAATATCAATCTTTCTGAAGAAGTTTTGAAGATATGATTAGAGAGTTCTATAACAATCCGTATTCAAAAATTTTTTATTTACTTTATTTTTCTTATAAATATGTTAATGTCTAATAACAAATCTGGATTTCTCAATTAACTTTATGTTTAAATTGTAAAATCTTTAATTATATATTATGTTATTCTATCAACATATACATGACGTTATAATGCTCCACACACATTTAACAATATATACCAAAATGCACTCACTTGAATAACACTTGACAAATCTTCGCGAGAGTATAGAATATTCTTTCATGATTCGAATTTCTATATCATCCGTAAATATATTCCAATGCTCATCAATCATTTCGTATATCCATTTTATCTGATATACAACAAATATCAAAGAACGATTATCTGAAATAGTCATATATACCGAGAAATGATGTTCAAATATCAAAAGTAACACGATTTTAAGAACATACCTTGTCATAGTTTAAAACACCATTTAAATGTCTTACAATAAAAGAAGTCAAGATTAAAATTTGATAGAATCCTTCAAAAACCAATTGCGCATTGTCCGGGTGATCGTATAATAGTAATATCTATATAAAATATAATATATAGAATCAAATAACTAATAATAACAAGGCTACCCTTACGGAAAAAACTCTGAAAATTTCAGTGTTTATACTCAAATTTGAATGTAAACCCTAATTTTTGGGAGTTTACTCTGAAATTTGTGTGTTTACACTTAAATTTTGAGTGTTTACACTCAAACATTGAGTATACAGGGTGGGGAAAAAGTATGGAAGCAAACAATTATTTCCGAAACTATTCATTTTTCGACAAAATGTCTTAGACATAATTTTTATGGTATGAAAAG